TGTTTGTTTTGTTTTTGTTTTTGAGGCACGAACTGCAAAGTTTAGTATTTTGTTGTTTGGTTTCGCTGTTTTGTTGTTGTTGTTTTTTTTTTTTTCCAAATAAGTGTATCAATTTGGAAGTGCACTTCCAAATAAAGTGTTTATACACTTGGTCAGCCCAGAGGAATAATTTTCTCTGTTGCAAGAGGGTCCTGTTGATGCACCAACGAGAATTTGAGCAGCTTTTGCAACCTTCCCCCCAGGGCTGGGGGAACTATTTGTACTATTTGTGTCCCAGGCTGGTAAACTGAGGCCGTGCTGGAAATTGCTGGTGGGTCAAGCTGCCCTGCTGTTAACCGGGCACACATACGGCTGCATCTTTATGTTGATGTATGCACAGCTTCCCCACCACCCTCTCCAAATTTTAACCTGGTTAAAATTTGGCTGCTGGTTGGACCCCACGATTCGGATCCCAGTGGGCATCCTGTCACGTTGCACCCTGTCCCCTCCGTGCCACATCCTCAGGAGATGCTCCGTGTTGGACTGAACGTAGGCGTGAACGTGACTTGTCCTTTCCTTCCAAGTTTCCTTTAGAGTTGGGGAAAAAAAAAAAAAAAAAAGAAAAAGAAAAAAAAAAGAGGAGGATGAATCACGGCTTAGTCAGAGTTGGGGCTCGCCAGAGCAATCTCTGCCTGTATTTTGATGCTGGGGGAAGGGTGCCAGGGGAGGCTGGCTGCTGGTCCCTTGGTACTGGTAGGTTCTTCCAAAGGGGATGGGGAATTTACTCCAGGACTATGACTTTTGGGCTGTATCCAGGGCCTAATCCCACCGTTCGGGGTGGGTTGCTAGGTCAGTCCGGTGAGAAATAAAAGAGGGAATTGAGGGGGTTTTTTTTGGCTTTGGTGTTTCGGAAAAGTTTGCAGCCTGTGAAGGCCATAAGAGACGGGTGCCCCGTTCTCACAGAAGGGATGTTTTTTTTTTGCCCTTTTCAGCCAGACTCCCTTCTTTTGCATTACTCCCCATTCCCCCCTCACCCCTCTGCACCTGCCACCTCCACCCCTTGGCTGCTTGAGGTAATTTTTTCCCCCCCCATCTACCACCAGGACTTTCAGATTTCGAGCCCTGGCATTACATTTATACCCTTGTCCCTTTGCATTTATTAAACCAGCAGGTCCAGAGAGGTAATTCTTCCACTTTGCTCTGCTCTGGTGAGACCTCACCTGGAGTATTGTGTGCAGGTCTGGAGCCCTCAATATAGGAAGGACATGGACCTGATGAAGAGAGTCCAGAGGAGGGCCACAAGGATGATCAGGGGGATGGAGCACCTCTGCTACGAGGACAGGCTGAGGGAGCTGGGGTTGTTCAGCCTGGAGAAGAGGACGCTCCGGGGAGACCTAATAGCAGCCTTCCAGTACCTGAAGGGAGCCTACAGGAAGGCTGGGGAGAACCTGTTTAGAAAGGGCTGCAGTGACAGGACGAGGGGCAATGGCTTCAAGCTGGAGGGGAACAGATTTAGACTGGAGATGAGGAGAGGGTTCTTCACTGTGAGGGTGGTGGAGCACTGGAACAGGTTGCCCAGGGAGGTGGTTGAGGCCCCATCCCTGGAGATATTCAAGGAGAGGCTCGACGAGGCCCTGGGCAACCTGGTCTAGTTGGGGGTGTCCCTGCTGACTGCGGGGAGGTCGGACTAGATGACCTTTGGAGGTCCCTTCCGGCCTGGGAAATTCTATGATTCTATGATTCTATGATAAATCCCCGCAGTGGGGTAGGTGAAGGCAGCACCTCTGGAGAACACTGGGTGATTTATCCCTCCCTCTGCACCTTTTCTCACCCTGGGAAGCAAAGGATGGAATTCTATGATTCTGTGATTCTATGATAAATCCCCACGGTGGGGTAGGTAAAGGCAGCACCTCTGGAGAACAGTGGGTGATTTATTCCTCCTTCTGTACTTTTTCTCACCCTGAGAAGCAAAGGATGAAGGACAGCATCACTGCCTGTCCCGTGGCATGCTGTGCCTGCGGTGGCTCTCAGCAACCCGACGTGCTTCTTACTGACAACATTTGGCCCCGTGGGTGACTTGGGTTTTGCGAAAAATTGCTGAGCTAAGCACCTCCCTGGGTTCCCCTCACAGCAGCTGTGAGCAACAGCTTATTTACCAGCCCAGGCTCTATTTATAGGGAGCTGTGCTTTCACACAGCACCACTCGAGAGAGGAAAATAAACCCTCTGGGTGCACCTAGTGCTGTCCTGCCTGCCACCCTCTCCCTGCAGTGAAAGTGCCTTATAAATAGTAATGATGCTTCTTCCAGCTGACCTCGCTGGGAGCAGCTGGGGTGCTCCAGCCTTTGAAAACCAGGTCATTTATTTAGGAGTCGAAGCTTTCTGCTCCAGTTATTTAGGAGTTTTAAAGCCAAGAATTACTAGGTGGATCTAATTTGAAGTGACTGTGATTTTAATTCAGGCAGGGGTTTCACTTTTGGGCTCCTTTCGAGATTGTGGGGGTGGTGATTTTTGAGGAGCCGCATCATAGAGCTGAGCTGCTGGAGGAAGGGGGATGCCCAAACTCCTCATCCTGTAACATCACGTGAATTTTCTTCCTTCTTTTGACTTGTGTGTTAGCTGGAAACCAAATTTTTATTGCCCTCCATGGGAAAAGGCCTAGGATTTTGAATAAAAAAAACCCTCCTGGCCTTTTCCAAAGGATGGATTTTGTGCACGGTGGTCCAGGAGCACTGTTGTGTCTGACCCCTATCCCCACCTTTGCCAGCTGGAGCCCTCACTGCTCTCCCCCGTCTTCCTTTCCACATCCCAGATCCCTGGATCTTTTCCAGCTCACTCATAGTAGTTAAATTTTTTTTATTTTTTTTTTTTTGCCTGTGAATATTTTTTTCCTGCGTAGGAGAGGGAAGGATTGTGCATTTTTTACTCTATCCATCTTGGCTCCATGTAAGGAGATAGCCAAAAATATTTTCTCTCTTTCTTTTCCCTATAAAAATATAAGCCTTTGCTTCTGCAGGAGGAAAATGCCCTATGTAATAAAAAAGGGCCACTGAACACTTTAAGTATCCAAGATGCTATTTATTGGGGTTTAAATTTTTAAGCAAAGTTTGCTTTATTAAACCTCATCAAAGCAGATGCTCACACCTCGATAATAATAGAATCATAAAAACATAGAATGGTTTGGGTTGGGAGGGACCTTAAAAAGCATCGAGTTCCACACCTCCCTGCCCTGGGCAGGGACACCTCCCACCAGACCAGGTTGCTCCAAGCCCCATCCAGCCTGGCCTTGAACCCCTCCAGGGATGGGGCAGCCACAGCTTCTCTGGGCAACTTGTTCCAGTGCCTCACCACCCTTATAGTAAAGAATTTATTCCAAATAACTAATCTAAATCTCCCCTCTTTTAGTTTAAAACCATTACCCCTCATCCTATCACTACAATCCTTGATAGAGTCCCTCCCCATCTCTCCTGTAGCCTCTTTAGATACTGGAAGGGGCTCTAAGGTCTACCTGGAGCCTTCTCTTCTCCAGGCTGAACCACCCAACTCTCTCAGCCTGTCATCATAGGAGAAGTGCTCCAGCCCTCTGGTTATCTTCGTTGGCCTCCTCTGGACTTGTACCAAAAGGTCCATGTGCTTTTTATGTTGGGGGCCCCAGAGCTGGAGGTAGTACTCCAGGTGGGGTCTCACCAGAGCAGGGCAGAGGGGCAGAATCACCTCCCTCGACCTGCTGGCCATGCTGCTTTTGATACAGATGATAATAATAATAATAATGATAATAATGATAATAATAATAATAATATCAATGATAATATCATTGATAATATCATCAATAATATCATCAATAATAATAATAATAAAATGGAAAACATAAAATAATGAAAAAATTATAAAATTCATAAACCATGAAAATAATAAAATAATAAAATAATATGACTGTGCCTATTTAAAAGCAAAACTTTTGGGGGAGCATCCCCAGCGCTGCCGCCGCTTCCCACCCCCACAGAAGCCGCTTTTTTTTTCCTTTTTTTTTTTTTCCTTTTTTTTTTTTTTTTTTCCTTTTTTTTTTTTTTTCTGGGAGGAACGGAGAGGCGCAGGGAAGAGGAGGAGGAGGGATGCAGGGGAGGATGTCCCAGACCCTCCCAGTCGTTTTTTTGCGCGCCCGCGGAGTGAGGCGGAGCAGCCGCGGGCGGAGGCGGAGCCGCAACCGGAGCATCCCCGTCGGGGCGGGCGGGGGGGTGGTGGGGGGGAGGACCATGTGCGACGTGAGGAACGTGCCGGAGCGATAGACCCCGGCTTTCCACCGCCCCTAGACCCCCTCCCCAACCGGGGGGACACCCCCCTTGGCCAGTCCCCCCCCTTCTTTGCTCCCCCAAGCCCGAAAAGGAGAACAAAGGCTCGACGGGGCGGGGGGGAGCGGCGCATCCTTTGTCCCCGCTGCAGTGCGGGGGGGCCGGCGGCAGGAGGCAGCGCGGGCGAACCCCGACGAGTGCCCTCCTCCTTCCCTTCATCCTCCTCCTCCTCCTCCTCCTCCTCCGCGGCGGCGCAGCGGCCGCGCCCCCCCGGCCTGCGGGGCTACAAATAGGCGGCCTCCGCCGCCGCCGGCTTCATTGCGAGAGGGAGAGGAGGAGGAAGAACAGCAGCAGCAGCCGCCCCGCTTCCCTGCACCAGCCCTTTCCTCGGCTGCTTCACGTCGAGATATTTTTGAACTCTTTTATTTTTATTTTTTCCGGAATAAACGGGAAATATATTTTTTTTAATTTTTTTTTTTTTTTAAATAGCGAAACTAGCGGTCCGACTCGCCCTTCGCTCCATCCGAGCGCGCAGCGGCGGGGTTTTGCGCCCTTCCTGCCGGCTTTTGTGCCCTGAAGCCCCCGTCCTTCCTCGTCCTCCTCCCCCTCCTCCTCCTCCCTAAAGCCTTAACGCATCCGAAAGCGCCGCAGCCGCTTGTTCAAACCACCCCTCAAAGCGACGACTGCAACAAAAAGCCTTTTTTTTATTACTATTATAATTTTTTCCAGCGACGACTGCAACAAAAAGCCTTTTTTTTTATTGCTATTATAATTTCCGCCCCCCCTTCCTCTTTTTTTTTTTTTGCTTTTCCCTTCTCCTCCCTTCCCCCTCCCGCACACGCACCAAGGTGGCCGCGGAGCGCAAAAAGACCTTTGTTTTAAAAATGCCCATGGAGCTGACGCAAAGCCGCATCCAGAAGATTTGGCTTCCCAATGACAACCGGCCGGCTCTGCCCCGCCGCTGTGAGTACGGGCTCCGCAGCATCCCGGTGGGATGGGATGGGCTGGGAAGTACCCCCCTCTCCCCCCTCTTTCCTCCTGCGCACCCCGGGGGGTTGCTCTTTGCAACGCCTTCTCCTCCTTCTCCTTTCCCATCATATCCACGCAGCATCCCTCCCCCTCTTCTCCTTTCCTCCTCCAGCAGCATCCCCGGGTGTCCGCATCCCATCCCGTGACTCAATTCCAGCCCTTGGGAGCTGGAGGAAGGTGTAACCATCACACGGCTGCTCCCCCGTGGAGCGGAGGGATGCGGAGACACGCGTGTCCCAATTTCCCCTCCTTCCCTCCCCGCCTCCAGTCCTGGGATTAAAAGGGGAAGGGAGCAGGTTGCTAACCTTGGCACCCGGGTACCAGCTCAGCTGGGATTTCCAGCGTGTCTGGCACCTCGCTCTGAGGTTTATTAATTTTTTTATTTTTTTTTTTTTGGAGGTAGGATTAGGGCAATGGATTTGGGGAAGGGGGGGAAAAACACCCAAAAAACCCCACCCCATCAGCTGTTTGTACTTTACCACTTCGCCCTCTCTGGGATGAGACAGGAGGCAGGTGGAGGGGAGGGCGAAAATTAACGCTGGCACTTCTGAAGTGGTTTTCCCTTCTTTCCAAAGCTGGGGGAGAGCATTTGGAGTGTTTAAACCCAACCTCTGCGCTTTAAAAAAAAAAATAAATAAAAAAAATTAAATTATAAACCCAAGCGCTTGGGTCATCCCGGTGTTACTATAAAACAAACCATGAATCATAACGCAATACTAAAGCTCGAGAGGCAGCTCTTTTAACTCACCCGACAGCTAAACTGACAACCTGCCCGTTGTGCAACCCCACATTAACTCTTCAATTAAAGCGTGGCAGGGCAGGAACCCGCAGATCTGGGGCTGCGGGGAGCCCGGGTTGGAGGAGGTGGCACTTTGCAGCCTGGCAGAGGATGGAAGTGGCTCGGGCAGTTGGGTGAATCAGTCTTTCCGATGCTTTTTTTTTTTCTTTGAGCAGGCGTTTTTCAAGTCTCTTTGGACACTGATTTTTTCCCTTGGCTGGAAAGTTCCCCCTCTTAAAAAAAAAATTAAAAAAAATTAAAATAATAAAAAATTAAATCAATTAATTTGCCACGTTGTTGCCCCATGGCTATGGGTCAGGCATGAGGGATGGCTGAACCCTAGAGCAGATGTTTGCACATGCAGCCTGTGTTTGGCCAGGGCAGCCCCGCAGCAGAAGCTGCCGAGGAAATGGCTTTCAGCAACAGGCTGAACATCTGGGTCGCCACAGGGCTTAGCATTTTACCAGGATAAAATGCCTCCTTTGGCTTAATGCTTTGCAGCTGTACCTGTTTAATTTGATTTTTTAATTTTTTTTTCCTCAAGCACCTTTGAAAGAAATCCCTTGTGGTACGCGGAGCCTCCCTGTGCTTTTTTTTTTTTGCCGCTTTATTCACCTGGTTTCTCAGAGGAGAGATTTCCCTCTTTGGCAGAGCAGAAAACTAACATCCTTTCATACGTTAGGGCACCGAGGGGCTCATTAATACTGTAATGTGGCTGCTAATTGTTTTCTCTCGTGGGTGGGAACAAGCCACGCCGGGCACTGCTCACTGTGTTGTGTGGGAAGAACCATATTGGGCTTTTTTAGTTTGTTTTTTGGGTGGTTTTTTTTTTTTTTAAACCCAGGGTGGCTATTTTAAACTCGAGGGGCTATTAATTGCTCGGCAGTAACAAAGAGCAGAGCCACAAAGCCGGGTAGGGATGGAGGTATGAGAGAGAGGAGAGGGTGATGTGGTCCCCGGCGGGGAGGAGGAGGAGGGAGCATCCCTGGGAGCATCCTTCCTCGCCAAGCTCCCGCCTTGCCTTCTCCTCCCTCTGCGCGTGAAATAATTAGTCCGATTGTCCCTTTCCTCGGCCACGGGAGGCTGGGATGGATGGGGAGCGCTGCCTTTTGAGGGCGATCCATTAAATTGCTGTCAAGCTGCACGTCTCTCACGTAGGGGCTGGGAAAAGTCAAGTCGTCGCAGGCGGCTGGCTGGGGCCAGGAGGGGAGGGGGCTGCTGGAGGAGGAGGAAGAGGAAGAGGAGGAGGAGAAGGGGTTGCCGCTGCCTTTCCCCTCTCTCTCATCCCTCTCATTCAGCAGGCATGTGAAAATCCGGCGGCGACGTGCATGCAAAACCACAGCTCACAAGTCCCAGAAAGGGGGGCTGAAACACTTCTCTCTCAAAAGAGACTCAAAGAATGGGCAACATCCTTTGTAAACCTTCACCAAAGCTGTCCTTGCCATTCTGGTGTTTACTCCAATTAGAGAGCTTTCCTTCCTTGAAGGACACCTGTAAGGTAACATAAACTCCCTCCTGCCTTACTACAACCATGGTGTGCAACAATGGAAATGGATTTTTCTTACTATGTAATTTCTATTTTAAAGCACCTAAGACTGGGGCTGGGGTGATGTCAGCTCCACGTGTGTGTGTGTGTGATGTGCAGGGCAGAAACGGCGTGCTCGGTGCACCCGGGAAGGTGTCGGGGAATGGCAAAGGGAAGGAGCTGGAAAAAGGGAATGAAAGATTTTTAACACAAAACATGTGGCCTGGGCTTGCAGAGGACGCGTGGGAACGCTTTTTCAAATGAGACATTAAAAATACTGAAGTGGGGAGATGGCTATTTTATCTAACCTTTTATAGAAGATAATTTCCTTCCCCTTTTTTTTTTTTTTTTTTTTTTTTTTTTTTTTTCTTCCTTCTACCCACTCGGTGAAGCGTGAGAGCGCATCGCCGCTGACTTTCTAGCAGATAGAAGGTGGCACAAGCCATGAGCTGCTTCTAAATACCCTGATATTTAGGTGCCTTTCAAAAGTCTCATCCCTGACCTTGACTCACCTGGATAGGTGTTGATAAGGAGTAATGAATATGCATTGGAATCCCTGACGGCTTTCCTGCAGTGGTGAAAAGAAATGATGAATTAGGTCTTTGTCAAGCCCTGGGAGCAAAACAGTGGTTTTTGTTTCCTTCCCCCCCCCCTCCCCGATGCAAAAGTTTCCCGGAGGCTTTTGTGATTTAGCTGGGTTTGGCTCAGGTTCCTGATAAAAACTTGCTAAGTGCTCAATGCCCCAATGTTTTGGGAAGTGCTTCCCAGCTCTGCAAACAGATGCTTTTTCACAGTCCACGGGGAACCTGGATCTTTCCTTTTGGGGGGGGGGGAAGATTCCTCAAATACAGGTGTTTTAACTCCTGCAGCTCCCTTTGGAGGTGACATGTTTACACCAGGTCTGGGACTGTCTCAGCTGCCTGGAGTGAAAGGGACACGAACAGTACCCGGTATTGTCCCCATCTTCTCAGAGAGCTATTATTTTAATGGCCCCAAATCCTCTTGGCTTTGCTCTTTGAGATCCTTTGTCCTCTGGCAGGTAGGGAAAGGAGGAGTTTCTCTATTCAGGTGTTATTTCTTCCCCTTTCCCTTTGTTTAATATGTAGCTGTTTTTTCCGAGGAAAAAAAAAAAAATACTTGCACCATAGGTTGGTTGAGGATGTGAGGAGGAAAAGAGAGGAAATTAGAGGAATTAGAGAGGAAAAGAGTATTTTTTTTCTGGATATGTTGCACAGCTGCCTTGGTACCCCAGCCTGCAAAAATCAGTGCTTGGAGTGGGAGGTGGCCTGGGCTTTTGAAACGTGGCACTGGGGATGCAGGTCACACAAAGGGGGTGAGCATGAGGGCAGCTCCAACCCGAGGAATGTGGAATATTTAAAAAAAATAATAAAAAAAATAAAACTAAATCTCTTTTAGGGTAGTTTTCTCACCTCTTGTATATTGAGCCTGCTCTGGCGAGAGAGCCAGGCAGGTGAGTGGCTCTTCTCTGCCCTTCTGGGCATCAGTGCTGTAACTCTTCCTTGTGGCTTAAATTTGGTTCCTTTAGCTGATGGATTATTTTTTTTTTTTAATTTCTTTTTTATTATTAGTAGGGGAGTGAAATCCCACATGCTTCGCATGCTCTCTGGACACCTCTCACTTTTTTTGCCCTTCCCAGATCTCTGCTGAGAAAAATGTACCCCAACCCACCACCCCATCTCCATCCTCAGGGAGCTCCTCGCATCCCCACATCATTCTGTTTCCATCCCCAGGGAGCCCCTTGCATCCCTATAGTGCTCTCTCCATCCTCGGAGAGCCCCTTGCATCCCCAAATCCTCTGTCTTCGTTCTCAGGGAGCCCCTTGCACCCCCAGATGGTTCTCTCCATCCATGGGGAACCTCTTCCATCCCCACATCACTCCTCGCCTGGTCCCACCTGCGGGCAGCTGGGATGGGCAGGCGGAGCTCTCCCGCCCAGACCATAATTAAGCCGCGTTTTTATGGCTCTGCCACCAGCCTCTCACTCCCTGCATTCCTTTCCCGTGAGGTCTCTGGCCTGGCTGGGTGGATTGAAGGGGTGGCTGAGAAATCCCCTGGAGGGTCTCCTCGCCTATCGGGGCTGGTCTCTGCCTCTGCCGGGAGGGCTCTCGGTGTGTCACGCCGGGGCGGCATGAAAGGCTAATCCCAAAATTCCATTAGGTATCGTTAAGATCTTCCTTTCTCGTATTTAAGGAGCTTGGCTTTGTGCCTTGGCCTTTTGTGTGTGTGTGTAGCACCATGTGAGAAGCAATTCTGCAGGGCAAACCCCAGAGAGGAGCAGGGATGCTGCCACGTTACGCGGTCCACGGGGCGTGCGGTCCAGATGGTCCAGATGCATCCCATGGTGCTGGGACCAGGCTGTGGTGTGTGTGTGTGTGTAGCACCATGTGAGAAGCAATTCTGTAGGGCAAACCCCGGAGAGGAGCAGGGATGCTGCCACGTTACGCAGTCCATGGATCGTGTGGTCCAGATGGTCCAGATGCATCCCGTGGTGCTGGAACCAGGCTGTGGAGGACTAAAAAAATTTAAAAAAATTCCCAAATAGCATTCCCAGTCCTGCAACCTCAGCAATTTCCTCCAAACTGAACCAGGCGTTTACTTTCTAAAGGATTTATGGGGAGAGAAGTGATTTACCTGGGCAGCCCGGCAGCTGATCTGTCTGCATTTTGGCCGTGCCTTTCGGGTGGATTGGAGAGGAGTTCCTCTTCACTTGCCAAGTCATCACTAAGCAATGCCGCTGGATTTATTTCCAGCTGTTCGACATGGACCCTCTTTACAAAAAAAACCCAAACCCAACCAACCCTGGGCTTAAAACACATTTATGAGGAAAATGGGATGTCACTCAGATATCTATTTTTTAAATGCTGGTGGTTCTGAAGTCATCTGACCCTGCTTGTCTTCCAGTTTTTTGGTTGTATTTCCATGTAAAAAAAAAAACAAAAAAAAACCCAAAACAAAACCAACCAACCATGGGCTTAAAACACGTTTATGAGGAAAATTGGGATGTCACTCAGTTATCTATTTTTTAAATGCCGATGGTTCTGCAGTCATCTGACCCTGCTTGTCTTCAGAGAAAAAAAAAAAACAAAACAGTTAGTTGGTTGTATTTCCATGCGTCTCAGCTAAAAAGCTAGTGGAAGCTTTTGGAAGGTGCTCTCTGTGGGTGAAGATCTCAGTGCAGACCTGGTATTTCAGCACAGCAGCCATACCTGCAGCGTGCTGCTGTGAGGACCGGACCAAAGTCCTTGGCCATCCTTTTCTTTTCACAGAAGTGGCCAAACTACAGAAATGGGAGGTTGTGTTTGCCTTTGGTTTTTTTCTTTTTTTTTTTGCGTTTACTTTCTAAAGGATTTATGGGGAGAGAAGTGATTTACCTGGGCAGCCCGGCAGCTGATCTGTCTGCATTTTGGCCGTGCCTTTCGGGTGGATTGGAGAGGAGTTCCTCTTCACTTGCCAAGTCATCACTAAGCAATGCCGCTGGATTTATTTCCAGCTGTTCGACATGGACCCTCTTTACAAAAAAAACCCAAACCCAACCAACCCTGGGCTTAAAACACATTTATGAGGAAAATGGGATGTCACTCAGATATCTATTTTTTAAATGCTGGTGGTTCTGAAGTCATCTGACCCTGCTTGTCTTCCAGTTTTTTGGTTGTATTTCCATGTGTCTCAGCTAAAAAGCTAGTGGAAGCTTTTGGAAGGTGCTCTCTGTGGGTGAAGATCTCAGTGCAGACCTGGTATTTCAGCACAGCAGCCATACCTGCAGCGCGCTGCTGCGAGGACCGGACCAAAGTCCTTGGCCATCCTTTTCTTTTCACAGAAGTGGCCAAACTACAGAAATGGGAGGTTGTGTTTTTGTGTTTGCCTTTGGTTTTTTTTCTTTTTTTTTTTTTTTTTTTTTTTTTTTTAAAAAAAAAAAAAAAAAAAAAAAAAAAAAAAAAAAAAAAAAAAAAAAGTTCTAGGAAAAATATTAAACCC